TGCTTCCAGTATAAATTGGTGTTTGCCAGAGGCAAAAAGATCGGAACTGAAATCCCAGGATCACACCGACACGAGAGCTTACTCATGGGCGATGACCCTTTCAGTCCTATATGGCGACATAGAGATCACCCACTAACAGTACGAAACTGTTTCCCAGCGTCACCCTGTTACGAGCTTACTCAATGGGGTTTCCCTTCGGCTCCACAAGAGATCAGACCAAGAAGCGAGATCACCCAGACACCAGAACTTACTTTGTTGGGACATAACCCTTCGGCCCTATAATGTGACATTAGAGATCACCTGTGAAGACAGTCCGATAGAGATGAAGATTTGTGTGATAGGGGATACCTTCCACACCCTGGAATTGGCCAAGCCATATAATGTTGATAATTGCTATATCATAACATAGCATTGTCAATTTAATATTATTTACTTAATACCAAGAATACTCAAGGTTCAAGTTAAATCTGTTGATTAGGCCGGAGCCTAAGAACGAGTAGTCCAACCCATAGGTCGAGAGCTACTAAAAGTAATGAGTGCTATTGAATGAACTATAAGTCCAGTCAATTATATATAATATTATTGTTGATTAACCACATTGTGAATTAACCAATTATTTATTCAGAGAGATATATCTAAAGGAACTATAAGTCCTTTAAAAGACACTGATTAATCACAAGTTAACAACGTCTCGTGAAATAACCAGTTGGGTTTTCTATAAGTTTGAGGACACTAAGTCCAACAAGCTATTATTGTGTTGAGAGTAATAGAGATCTTTTGTAATATTTGTAGAGGTTTGATTAATCACATTGTGAAATAATCAGATTAAATAATTATGCAGCTTTATAGAGAGGACTATAAGTCCTAATTGGTTGTTGCCATGAATACTGATAAATTACACATTAAAGTGCCAGGTCAAATATTATATATATAGGTATATAGGAAGGACAATAAGTCCTATTTGTGTATGTTGTAGTAGTAGATGTATATTGAATAATTATAATGTGAAATATATATATATATATATATTAAATATATATTTGTATAGAAAGAACAGTAAGTCCCATACAATTATTGTAGCTGTACTATAGTTATACTATGTCTACTTCCTTTTAGTGTCTTAGTAAAACCTATTTACTAAGAGGATTTCTCAGACAAACAAGTGTTTTAGTGTTTAAATCATCATGATTAAATCCCTAAGAAATTAGGTCTTTAAATAATTATCATATCATTTAAGTAAAATTTCTCATACAAATAATTCCAATATTTCCCCTACAGTTATTATAAAATAACAGAAAATTATATAAATTTTCTATAGACTTAGATATAGAATCATAACGTGTATAATCTCCTTTTGTTTGACATCTGTCACATTAATGACGTATTGAATGACGTATTGATGTATTGAATTGAATTTAGATTATCTATCACAACTGTCAACGTAACAAATACTAGCAAGTTTGTTTATTTGTATTTGTTTAATATAATTAAATATAAAATCATCATATATCAACCGTAATATACAACTAAATTATCAGTGACATAAATAATCATGGTTTACACCAGAAATAATTAATAGTATCCAGTAATGCTGCAGTTTTATATTCATATCAGTAGCCAAGCTTACTTTCAAATTCAAGAATGAACAGAAGATTAGAAGTTTAACATTCTTATTGCAATTGTACTTGCAATAATATATACATACAGTACTAATTATCAAGAACATTCCTCAAATACATGTGTGGTGAAGATTTTCCCAATATGCTATCTATTTGATTTCTAACCTCTAATGTAAATTTATTAAAGAAGTGAATAATCAGTGTTAGTGTTTGCTTTATTAATATTTAAAGTAATTGTCCTAACTTGATATTAATAGGATCATATCCGTTGTATAATGTAGGATATAAACATATAACTCAATAATTAAATTTATAAAATACTAATATTATATTTTACTACTTGTATATCTCCATACTATTCCCATAAAATATTCAAAACATGTATATTAAATATAAATCCAGTAAATATTCACTAATATTAACCCTGTCTGAACTTGTCTAGTCAATATAACATGAACAAACAACACACATACAAACCTTATCGCCATGACAACTTTCCTCCTAAATATGAGTAAAATACATAACTTATACTTGTCATTTAATACTAATTTTATACTGTACCTCATACCTAGTTAAGAATAACTATAGTCAGAGAATCCTTTAGTACATTTATTACCATTAGGAAATAAATCCACACCCATAATATCAGCATAATTAAATATTATTAGAAACCAGTAATACATACAGAATTGTTATTATCAGCTTGCTTACTACAATAAAATCAATATTAAAGTTTATAATAAATCAAGACAAAATATCTATTTAAACAATACAGGCTTGTTTACCATAAACACCCCACAGTCACATGAATTTATTTAGTAACACAATTAATAATGTATTAAAAGTATTACATTCACATAATATCACTTGCAACAGTTAAGCTGTCTCTTTGTACATCTGGTGTAAAACAAATCCCCACATGTAGTCATGGATAATCAAATATAGACTAAGAATCATTAATCTGGTCGACCGAGTAATGGTATAAAAACACTTCACCATGAAGCGTTAAGTATGAACAGATATTCCAAACCAACACTGTAATAGTGTAATAAATACAAATATTTCATCATCATCATCGTCTCAACCATCACCAACCCACGACTGAACACAAGCAATTTCCACCGACTGACACAAGGAACGGCCCCACAATACACATAAAACAGTCACTCCAAACAATGGAGGTAGCCCACACCGCACTTGCATTTACAGGGTCGCCACTCAATAACCCCTCTCTCTCATCAATGGCTGTTTCCCCAGCAATGAGACCAGACCATAGTCACTTTAGTCTATTATCCTCAATAAATAAATACTTTATAATAACTAGATATGAAACTAGTTAGTATTGTAATAGTTCAATAGTTGATTCAATAAGTATTTTCCAAAACTGGACAATTAGAACATTGAATCAAATTGATGAAGTTCTATCAAACGACCATATAATTGGATTTTGTATATGAGTAAAATAACGTAAGTACGTAAATTATATTGATGTAAAATTTGTTCAAATGTGATTGCATTTAACGATATACGCATTACCTAAAGGTATATGGACTCGACTAAATACGTATTTTAATAGTTGTTGGGAAAAATATTAAGTATAGACTTTGCCTGCGATCACAGTCAAAAATCTAACTACATAGTAATAAATGGAACAAGCTCACCGGATTCTCCAGTCTTCTATTGATTAATTTCACACACTTAATCGATAGTGATACACTAAGGTCTCAAACCCCTTCATCGATCCAGTCCCTCCTAGATCTATATCCCAGTTATTTTTTTATTTTATTGCGCAATCCCTAAAACACGACTCCCCGCCATTTGCCGTACTTTTTTTTTTTTTTTTTTTTTTTTTTTTTTTTTTTTTTTTTTTTTTTATTGCGCAATTCCTAAAAAGCGGCTCCCGCGCGCCCGCCGATCTGCCGTCTCTCCCTTTTTTTTCTTTTTTTTCTCACCTAGTAACGTCATAGATTATGTCACCGAAGGGTAGATATTTCAATAATCGGATTTAGCCTATTATTCGAACTGAACTTTTCTTTAAATTCAATTTAATTATATGTTAACGTATTTTGGTATTTTCTATTAAATTGATTATCGAATTTATAAAACTTTAAAGGCTCTCATAAACCTTATTAAACTGTGTTATATGCATCCTTTTTACACCTGATGAGAAAAAGGTAAACTATAATTTGGTTAATATAAAATATAATATATTTTTGTTTAATTTATTTAATTTTCTTGTGACGTCCACTACACTCTGGAAACACATCAAAGGAGTTTCCCTTCTGTGTCAATATTTCATATATGGTAACGTCTTCTCTGTATACTACTGTGAACCTTGACTTTAAAGTTTGTTTATATTAAATAGCTCAGCTTTCGCAGCGGTCACCCATAGGAACCCCTGTTTCTTTTCTATGTACTTATGGTATTAAACCTATTGTACTATAGGCGAACCGTCACAACTTACAGGATACAGGGGTACAGGGTCTTATTTCTTTATTTATTTAAAGGGTTTAAAATTGATTTCTCTGTATTCGCTCTATAATAATCAGATGAAAATATCGAATCTTGTTAGCATTTCGTAGTCAAATACGTAAACGGTAACTTTTTAATAGCTAATTATCAGTCCGTGTGTCACAGTATTATAGCAAAGTCCAAATATTATGTAATTTTAAGGGAAAACGTAGGAGGTCTATCGTCTAAATATCAATACAACTAGAGTCGATATCTTAATTAGAGAGCGATCCCAGGGGGCTTGAATTGGAATCTGGCCGTTTACTGAAAACTTTGTACATCAATTTAAACATTCGACTTATTCTCCAGTGACTGCAAATACCGCGTAATGTGTTAGTGGTAGGTACAGTGAACGCTCCCCGGCACGGCAGCAGCAGACTAATGCATCTGGAATGTTTTGTCTTTTTTTGTTTGACTTTGCACAAAGTATCCCTCTGGCAAACTCCATAAATATGCGATCTAATTGGTATTAGATTTGGTGCGATGTCACTATAATTTTTTAGATATTTTCTGTTAGTCTTGCCACATGTTTCTATTAGTATTCGAATCTTTATTTTCATTTCACTCGAGATTGGTTGTGTAATCTTTGCGTGTGTTGTCTAATTTATCATTGTACCTACATACTTCTAAAATGTAGTACTGATTAAGAACTGGTGAACAAGTTGAAAATTAATCTGAGGAAAAATTACAAACATTTTGAGATATAAACTTCTATATCATATTTCTAAAGAATATATTTAGATATAAAAGTTTTTCCTTACTGTTGTAAATGTTTTAGTGTAATAATGTCGTCCTTGCTTCCTATGTGAGCGCACTGATTAAAAGTCAAGGCTAAGATAGGAAGGATAACGCGACCTCGCTGGGTTTCAGTCACTTCCGGGGGTGTCGCTGTTACATCGCGGAAGCTGCGGATGTTCCTCCCGCCGCGCCCCGCGCCCCGCGCCCCCGCGCCCCCGCGCCCTGCGGCCCACGGCCCCGGCCCGGTGCCCCACAGCCGCAGAGTAGTGCGCGCCCTGCCCGCGACCCGCCCCTGACCTACATCTCAGCGCGCGGCGCGTGCGTTACGTACGTACAGAGGTGTGGGCACAGCACGGCTCGAGCTCGCCGTCTGCTGAGCACCGCCGGCACCGGCACCGCCACCGCGCAGGCCGTCGCCGAAGTCTCCGTAGCTGCACCTACACACACAGCCACCAGTGGTCAATTGCTATAGCGGCAACTCACAGATTCATTGCCTTATTATTAGGTGTGCATTCAAACTCTACTGATATCTTATAATTTGTTTAATCAATATTATTTTGATGGACTTGAATTTTTAGTATTGTAAAAATTACTCACTTGCGTCGTGCAATTCGGAAAAAGGAGACATTTTTCTGCCTGTAATATTATCGACATATGTTTAAGAGACGCAGTGAATGTTAAGAAAATTACTAAATTCGTTCGCGACGATACTTTTGCAAGTTTCCGTTCCGTTACAAGACCCGTTTACCCTCTGGATGGTCAAATGGTTGTAACTTGGTATAAATAAAAATCTACACTTATTATTGGTAACTGAAGGGAACAAGAAAGAGTATCTATCTATCTATTTTACTCGTCCATGTGGTAAGGGAGGCCCTGAGATGTTGTAAGACGCGATTATGGGAAACTAGCGCAATACATCAGTGCAAGATATGGAAAGCTCGACATATAACCGCCGAGGCGCCTGCTCAGAATAGTAATAATAGGATAGTAATATATCCTTCTCTATTTTATTATGGTATGGAAACATCTTAGAAGGAAATATACTAAGAGAATTTCTTTATATAGCTTAGAACGGCAAATGGGTAGAAAGCATTTGCAAGTGTTCGCTATAGAATAGAAGTGTTCCTTGTACTCACTTGTATTTTAGGTGAGTGCAGTTTGTCTACCTGTTTAATACTAGTATAATTCCTCACGTTTTGTATGAATTAAGAGAATAATGTTTACTTTTACTTTTTTAAGTTTTTTTACTTTTTTAAGTTTTTCGATGTGTCAATTTGTCTTCTTGTTTGTATTTGTATTGTAATTTGGGTTATAAATACAGCTACATACAGACAGTACGCCAGGGCTCGCAGTAACCGCTGAAATTTCGTTCCTAAGAAGAATTGGATTCGTGCGATTTATAGCCCATCCAACATGAATCCGTTCCTTCCGTTTTCATCGACGGTGACTGTGTGCGTTTCATTCCGCCGTCAGTTCCATCCTCGTGCCTGCTGCCTGCTGCCTGCTGCCTGCTGCCTGCTGCGCGGTGTGCACGTCTCTATCATCGTAGCGCCGCGCCGCATAGCACGGCCGCTCAGCGCACGCAGGTCACGCACTAGGGTAAGCACTGAAAACACTAATATGATATTCATAACGCATTGTCACATCTGTAGTGGAGTCAACTTATGAACAGCATACTTTATCGTTTTTATTTATTGAATGTTATTATTATAACAAGCCCTACTTCTATGTTATTATTAAAACAGGCACGAAATCAGAATGGAAGAAGTCGTAAGTATCTATGCCATAGTTAACTAAATGTTGTGGTCTGTCTATAATACTATTACGATTATAAAAATGAATTGTCATCATGATTTTGTTTCTTAAAAATCAATCGTAACAAAATTAGTATGGGACCACTGTAGAAGAAGTCTTTGCAATCGATAGTTAACCCTGATAAGTATCCAATTCGGTGCAGATTTGGTAAAGATAGCGTGTTATATTAAGTGATATACTACTATCGTAATACAGGTAAACTGAAAATATTTGTAGTAGATTGATAATTTAGCTAGGCAGACCACAGCGTGGTTTCGTTTTGTCCGCATAGCTATTATATTATCTGTGGCATATCCTATAACGGGTGCTGCGCGGTTAATTCTTACAATCTACAAAAACCCTTGCTTGAACACTTCACATGAAAAATATCTGTAGGGACGTACCATATTTTAAGTTCGTAGTACGCTTTCAAGTTCTGCTTTAGAGCTTCCATATATTGTGGAATTTTTGCAGAGGTCAAAACTCTACATTACACTGGGCGGCTTGTATAGGTAGGTACGTTTGCGATTGCGCAGCGTATGTGCAGGATTTCGTAAGATGAGTTAGTTAGTGAGTGATGTATAAATGTTCCGATTGAATTAGCAGAATAAGCCAGAGGACATGCTCCTACTGTATGTCATATATTTAAATACCGTTATTTGTTTATGCGAATGAATATCGATACATCTCTACAAATGTTTATATTTATAATGTTAGGAATAATGTGCAGTATATATGTACATATAAACTGAATAATCCAGACTGTAAACACCTTCCACAGAGGAAAGAATCCTACCCATGCATAATCTTGGTAATCGGATACATGTCACAGTTGCGTGGCGACAAGGTATTCGAATAGTTGGCGCTCTGTTCCACGGGCGGTCGGCGCTGAGAGAATACATCGCGGTGGAGGAAGGCGGCCGCCGGCGGTCCACGACGCAGGTTGACAAGTAGGTGCGGAAATAAATTGAGTCGCTATTGCCGCCGGAACGCGCTCAATTGACGCGGGACGCTTCCGATTGTTAGGACATTTCCTCGGCCGCGCCATGATGAGGACGTTCATTGTTAATTCGTCACATAAATGACCCGGTCCCCGATCTCACTGGTTTTTGCTGGGATATTTATTTCTATTTCACAAAAAAACATATTTTTATTTAAATAGCAATTTCATATAATTTACAGCAAACAGATTGCTTGCATAGATAGAATAAAACATGTAAATATTGTTTGTGCATTTATTCTTATACACTGTGCATATATTTCATGTCTCAAACATCTATATAAAAAAAAAGTAATTTTCAGTGTGGATCATTTTATTTGACAAATGAAAATTAGTTAAGTAATCTAAAATATTATATGTCTAAGATTTCGCATGGACTCAAAAAAAAACTAGTCGACGCAACATCACGTGAAAGAATATATACCATTAAGCAACAACCGGTGAGCAAAAAATTGGCCAACATATCACTGAACATGAAGCTAAACGCAGAATGGATATGTTATTTATATGAGAACGACACGGGTCGTTATCTGTTAGCCTCGTGAGAGACTTGCTGAATTATAAAATATGTCGAGCGTCATGTGAGATGATTCAATTGTCGGCTAGCGAGTACGTAGCTTAAGCTCAGCGGTGATAAACAAATTAAACATTTTCAATACCGTTCAGAATTAGGATATTACAGTGCGTACAGCGTAGGTATAAATATGAACCGGCAAACAATTGTAGACGTTTGGAGGCGCCTAAACAAACAGCCAACTGCGAGCAACTGTTTGCAGAGGACTGTCGCGAGGTCGCAAGCTCATACATAGCTCATATGCCTCCGCGGTCTCTAATCCTGGCTGAATGCTGTGTGTGCACGGCCCATGTACCAACACCATGAGCACGACAGATCCTCGCAGAATAAGACCGACATGTGTCTAGGTGATTTTCTGCTGATTTGCACTTGCTGCTGCTGATTTTCACCATCGTACAACCCGCCATAAACTAAAATTTCATTCTATCTGGACGAGTGGCGGTCCTCCACCGTGCGTTTTTCAAGGCACTTTTTCCTATGCACAACCACTCTTTGGAATTAACTTCCAGCAGCAGTATTTCCGAACCGATACGACAACATAACCTTCAAGAAAAGAGCATATTCCTTTTTAAAAGGCCGGCAGCACACCTGCAATGCCGTTGCTGTTATGGGTGATCATGGGCGGCAGTAATCACTTACCATCAGGTGAGCCGCATGCTCGTTTGCCCCTGTGTTGTAAAAAAAAAGGTGAACAGATGTTACCTTGACTCGTACACTAAAGAATGGAGGGTAATGTTTTTCCAGTAGGTATCTATATCAGCAATCTGGACTAATATTGATGCTTGACAAATTTCACTGGATTGTATGTTGTTGGCGAGAGATACATAGCAGAGGGAGACTTTGTACAGATGTCTGTTTAGGTACCTCTATCCCACTTGACATGGCTGTATTTTTTTTTAAGGACAATGAAGCAAAAATGTACGGAGTTATATTATTAGGTATATATTATTATTACATTAAAGTTAAACATAATTAGAGTTCTCAAAAAACACCGAATTTAATTATAATAAAACTAGTTATTTTGATTTAAAAAAATGAATGAATCGTTTTTAATAAAATTTCTACCGAACCAATCTGTAAGCATATTCATTTAAATAAATAAAAAATAATTTTCCGAATCGGTTTACAACTGATGTAGGCAAGAATTAACAAACAAAAAAATACAACCGAATAGCTTTATAATAGCTTTTGTCTTTTTGGAGTCCGTTAAAAATGAACGAACGCCGCGCTCGCGCCGTGAGAGACAACAGGCGAGTTTTTATTGTTTATTTATGTCAATTTTTTAAATCCCTTTAGTACTTCATTGATTAATCATTTTTTCTGTTTCTCTTTTCTTTTTTCCTCATTTCAGTCTTAAAATTAATTAACTTCACCCGAGGGAGACTTTGTACAAAAGTCCTTTGTTCGGGTACCTCTGAACCATTCGTGTTTCTACCGTGAAGCATGGTGGTGGGTATCATGGGCGAAACATTATACTCTGTTATACCCATGATAATGCTCAAGTCTATAGGCGACGGTTACCATTTGCTATCAGGTGGGCCGTTAGCTTTGTCATTATAAGTTGCATTAAAAATAGTTGTTTATCTATGGAATTTTAAGAAATACAATTAATTGATATACTCTTATATGTGATACGAGACTGACATTCAAATACTTAATGTTCCTATTGTAATTTATTAAATATACTCCGAGTATATATCTAGTACGATGGATACTTATTTCATATGATAATATTCCTGTAATCAATTCTCGTATTGTAATATTATTTATGTTAGTGATTTAATACGAAATATTTTTCTCTTCTATGAAAATTATTTTTAGGTATCAGAGAGAGAATTCTATATAAAGAGATAAGAATAATCGATGTTGTGAGAAAAGCGGATACATGGCTTAATGAGAAGTGGGAAGGTATTAAGAATAGGTATAGCAACGTGACAGGAGAGGAGGGAGCGAGCGCCGGCGACGAGTGATAGATGGGTGGACGTACTCGCGTACCATCTCGCGAGTAACATACAAGATAAGCGCCGCCGTAAACCGGTGTGCGACGAAGCGCTACAAAGCGTTTTATGCACGAAGAAGCGCAGCCAGGGCACGCCAGTCGCAAACAAAGGCGGCCAAGCGCCCCCCACACCTACACCTACACCTACCTACTCTACTTGTATAGCCACACTTCAATTAACTTCTCGTGTTATATCTACTCGGCAATAAACTACACTAACTATATTGTTTGTTGCATTTTTATATTGCAATATTTTCTATTTGACTGATTATCAATTACCTATTTGTCTTATTTCTTTAAGTCTTTAGAGAATTAATTACTTATTGCAAAATATGTTTCGAAATATATTTTATAGTTGATTTTATAGGCTGAGTTTTTTTTAATGGGTGACAATGGAATGATAACCCCGCCTGCGATATCGGTATACACTGATGTGGCACCAGTGAGAGATGATAAGGTGAGGATGAAGCAGGTTATTTATCATCGTAAAGAATTCAACAAGAATTTATCACGACAGTTTCCAGGGGAAACCACCTGATAGGGTATATTGCTAGCAATGAGGCTGTTAAACCCCATTACTAACAATTCCTTTCCCCCAGGCTGAGAGTCAGGACCATCAAGAATGCTCCTCCCAATGAATGAATCCCAAAATTTCCTATTTGATAGATTGACCGAATGTTACACTTAGAAACATTACATTACCAATAATTACGAACTAGAACCACACGAGCAAAGAAAGCGAGCACTCGATGACCACACATTGGGGAGGCAGACTTTGACGGCGAGCTCCTTCAACACTCTGCTCGAGATTTCTAACGTTTTGCTCTGGCGTCATTGCTCGAATGCATCGACCGTGAGGCCGAAATAGAATTTCATGATTCAGAGGCGTTCAAGAACGTATACAGAGCGTGTGCATAATATTTTATTTATGAACTTCGACAGATAATAATATATATTTTTATTTTTTCACCTCAGTAGTATAAATAAAAATTTATACCACTGAGATGGCAAACAAGCATACGGCCCACCTGATAACAAGGTTACCATCAGGTTACCGTAGCCTATGAACACCTGCAATACTAGAGGTATTACGCGTGCATTGCCGACCCTGAAGAAACCTTTTTACCTCCCTTTTGAAGAACTCCATGCTGTAGTCTCTTGGGAAAACCTCGGCAGGGAGCTCATTCCATAACCTGAGTGTTCGTGGGAGGAAACATCTCTGAAACCGTTTCTGTAGGATATAAGGATGGACTCCCTGTCGATAGCGAGCCGTACGACGGTAGAAATTATTTATTTTACAATTAATCTAATAATTACATAAATATATTGCAAATTGCATTAAATTTCATACGATTAATTGATAACAACCATATATATATATTACAAATTATACGAGTATATACTCCTATTTAAATATATAAATATATTTAAATAGTCTCCAAGTATTTAAACTCAATTATCGGAGACATTTAAACAAATAGTAACACTGAGTACCGTGTTCACAATCACAACGTGCCGTTGCATAGCTACGTGTGATTGCCGATATCAGCAACTAACATTTGCATACAGCGTAGCAACTAGTAACAGTTGGCGTCACGGCCGCGCGGCCGCGCGGACAGGTGGACAGGTGGACAGGCGGTTAGTGGGTACCTACTCGACTCACACGGTCGCACGGCGCGCCCACTCTACGAGTACCTACTAACGACTACACTGCCAATCCATTATATTAAGAATTACAGAATTTTCTATTATTATAAATACAGTCATATCTTATACGTTTTGCGCGCAACTTTATTGTCCTCATCATGTGAACTCGTCAACTGTCGTGTTGGGTCTTTATCGGTTCGGTATAAGCAATTAATTATTTAATCTGAAATCTTGGACGACCTTTTACATGTGTACTTTCCATTTACATTCTTTACGTCTGTATGTTTGAACTTGTAAATATTAGTTGGCCTGCTGAACCCACCATTTCGCATAACAATGTTTCCAAATAGCCCCGGGCCCCGGGAGTGCGGGGCGCAGGGCGCGGGGCACAAGTCTCGCGGGGCTCGCTATTAAAATTAGATTTGCTTGACACTCGTATTGTTATCGGGCCTCACCTGATACGCAGGTACGACGTGTGCTCCGCGAGCGTAATATATTTTTACTTTGCAATGTAAAACAAGTTAGCCACGAGTACACCTGTGTGATCTAAACAAAATACGCACAGAGCGAGCGGCCAGTTGATACTATCGGCTTCAATTTTATGTTGTTATATGTTGTATCTGTATATTTGTACCTTTGGTCCCTCACGTTTCATTCTTGATTGAACGTGGTGGGGTAAAAAGTTAATCCCTAAAATCGCAACGGTCCATAGGACAGGGGGTCCGGGCCGGAGGCAGCAGCCGGGCGGTCGGCGCGGGACGGCGCGGGGCGGGGCGGGGGGCACCATTAAGCGAGCTCTATTCTCGTTTCGCTTCCACTCACCCAAGTGACAGTTTTTGACAAGCACTAAGAAGCTCATCTTGTTCAGAGTACAGAGACCAAAGGTGACAGTCCAGTCGCAAAGAATTTAAATCCTTTTAAGTTATTGTAATGTAGTCAGTCGTTGATTACTTAATAAAAACGTTGACTTGCTCAGCGTACAAATATGAGTATTATTTCACGACGTCTACATTGAAGACACGTTTTATTTGGAAAGCACTCAACTACTAGACTAGTAGCACACTACACAGCTGTACCTAGACGGCTGACGGAGACCCTCGCTCATAGATTGCAAATGTACAGTTCTCTAAGAAAGCAGGTTCTCTGTTTGTCCATATTTTTATATGCCTGATAACCTTGACGAATAGTCAATTATGAACCGATGTTTATAATTTTTATTTCAATCCAAAATATTTATTCCTGTATTCGTCCCATTTTAATTATCGTTTAACATTATTTTATGGTATTAAAATATCTTGAATAACTTATTGAGATCACTTTCAATTTTTATCCTATCTATAAAAACATTTAGATTTTTAATACGAGTATCACTACATAATATAAAACAAAGTCGCTGTCGCTGTCTGTCCGTCCCTATGTATACTTAAATATTTAAAACTACACAACGGATTTTGAAGCGGTTTCTTTTAATAGATAGAGTGATTCAAGAGGAAGGTTTATATGTATAATACATGCATAATATTGTAGAGAAACACTGATAAATTTAAAGGTTTCTAATAAGATGCGATGTAATGTGCACCCATGCGAAGCCGGGACGGGTCGCTAGTAACAATATATTTAGCGAAATAAATTCGGTACGTTTAGATGAAGACTCAATTTTCTGTAGTCGCGTTGTCGTATTAAACTTGGAAGCGTAACACCGTTGCAAGTGCCGGCACGCTCTGCTACGCAGAGCGTGCCGTTGCCCGTAGCGGTGACTACGAGCTACGCTCTCTACGAAAGCGTAGATAGGTGTACAATAAATTCATGTCATTATCAGAGAACTATCACCAGCCGGTGGATCAAAATTATGTAAATATATTTATTATTATATTGTTAATATTACACTGCAGAGAAGCATTCTAATTTATGAATACGTAACTAAAAATGTTGAGTCCGAAAATACTTTGCAAAATTTGAATTTATATTTCCTTAAGATGCTATTAATATAATATACCTAAATTGCCTCATAATATATAAACATTTCGTAGAGTTTTTCACATTAATTTAAAATTGCCAATTACATTTTTATAACATTTTGTAAATGTGTATTTTTTACACCAACTATGGTAGAGAGATTAATTTATTTTTCACCCCGATAAGAAAAAATTGAGGCAGTAGTCGGTAGTAGGGGGCGAGATGTTTGCCGGATCAGCTAGTTAGGCGGGCCGCTTAAAACGGCCGCGTCACTTCAGCAATATTAAGCAAAAGGACATGTTTTTTTTTTGCACCAACAGGAAACATAAAATAATTTAGACACAATGTAAGTATTAATTTTATTTTATACAAAAATATGATAACATGAAACAGAGGTAAGAAAATTACTTAGTTTTGCTGCTGTTTTCGTCGGATGACGTTAATTGGTCTCTATTGGTTTTCTGTAAAATTGCATTGAAGGAGGATAGATGATACAATACAAATATAAGTTATATTGAAATGCCTTAACCTTGAAGAAACTACTGGCTATTTGACATGTAAATTGCATTTATTATAACACTAATTGGTTGCCTTGTATTTGTGTAGTCCATGGAGATGGAGCACTGGTGACTTGTAACACAGGCTCTTCAAAACCTACCGCAAGCACCAGTCTCTCACGAAATTGGTCTTCACATCAAATTGTACCTCAAGTTGTCACTTTATACTACCTTCTGTGAAGAAAAAATAAACCATTCATTCATTCATTCTAAATTTTTTAAATCAAATTTCGGTCCGGCGGCTCTCGCTGCGCTCGGGATCTCTTTAAGAAATAAGATGTTTTCGGTTACGTTATTATCCTTAAGGCTCAACTCCTGTAAACCACTTTTAGGGATACATTTTCATAAATCCTTTTTACTGTTCATATATGTTTTATTGTTATATAGAACTCCTTCCTATACACAAGTGAGTTTTATTCGCGCCCGCGAGTTCGGGACCTCCGAGCGCCGGCCTCCAGGGTTCAGCGTCACGCCAGTTATCCGTGTTCATGTATATAAAGGAGATCGGTATCAGTGTTTTCGGCTTCTTAGTACGCACATATCGCGATTTCCTTAAATAGACTCCACATATACGGACATGAGGATCCACAATTATTCCATATCTTTCTTATAGTTACATACTCATTATTGTTTCCTCCAAAAGATTATAGTAGCAACTTATTACAGATACAAACAATTACAAGAAATAATCACAGTGAGAAAACAATGGGCGGCTTTATCGTTAAAAGCGATATCTTCTAGGAAACCTTTGGATGTAGGAGTAATTATAAACAGTTGGGAATTCATTTTATATAGAAAAGCCCAAATAAGTGGTAATAAAACATCGCCTCGGTGCTGCGGTGGATGCTACGAGTATGAACGGCACGTAAACACGTACTAGTACTTAGGTTTCAAGGGACACTGAACGTGTTTCAATGTCCCGCCAGCTGTGAATGGTCTCAATTCCACTCTCTTTTTACGAAGTTAGAATCAATATTTTTTTTTTCCATTCGAAAAAATATGTTATTTTCATTAGGAAAGTGGTTTGGATTATTGCTATAAATTGATTGGGCGGCCATTAGGTCGATCGCTTACTTCTTTTGTCGAAAGTGACGTTTTCCATTTATTGTGAAACAAAATCTTGAATTATATTGGGCCCATTTCATAAATAGCTGGACAATAACAATGGAGGAAGTGGAACGACTTTAGATCTTATTACATAAGGCTCGTGAGAAATAATGCGCTCGTAGAAACAAGGAAAAGTGGTGCGTCGATATCATTGGATTACAGTCGGTCGAGTCGGGTACAGCGGCCGGCATCGACATCAGTCGAATCGTGTGGAAACCGGCTCCGGGCCGCGCCCTCGCCGCCGCCGCCGCCGCCGCCGCTTACACGGGTAACGCTCAAGGAAAACAAGAACACGGAAAAAGAATCCTAATGATACCCGCTGCTCCATTTTAAGTTGGAACTTTCAGAGAATTATACCCACTCTTTACTCTTAACTGGATTTTTTTTTTGTATATAAAACATTAGTACTGTTCTGTATGTCATTTTATTAACTAGTTTTGATAATTAAATATTATTACACCTTAGTTTTAAATATTAATATGCATCTAAGATTGAGTTCATTTACATTAAAAATGAAACAGGTAAAAGAGAAACAATGACACTAGTGGCTCGAACGTCTCTGAACAATGTGAGGCAGGTTATTGTATGACGAGGACGCCCCTCGTGCGCCACGCCACTCAGCGTTCGAGTGTCATCGACAGTAACCATCACAGCTCGCTCCACACCATAACACGACCCACGCATACCGCCACACGCTGCACTGCATCGCGCCGAAAGTTCTAAGACCAACTTAAAAACCACTTGATTATAAATAATAATGGCGTAAAAATATTGCTTGGGTACCTCTGTCTCATTCGTGTTTCTACCGTAAAGCAGTTATGTTTTTTTTTTAATGTTTGATAATGAAATGGTAATCCAATCTGTATACACCGGAGGGCCACCAGTTAAGGATGATAGGTAAGGATGAAGCAGGTCTGTTAGCCCATCGTGACGAATTCAACAAGAATAGGGCATATTGCTAGCAATGGGGCTGTCAAACTCCTTTGCTAACAACCCCTTTCTCTCCGAAGCAGTTGTTTGCATGACTGTGTTTCAGTTTGAAGGGTGGGCTATAGCATTGAATTTACAGGGTACAGAGGAATAACACCCCAGTTCTCAGGAATGGCGACGCATGGGGGGAGGTATCATGGGCGAAACAGTATACTCTGTTATATTCATGGTACTGTTCATGTCTATAGGCGACGGTAACCATTTTTCATAAAAGAAATCTTTCTATACCTGACTAATGTTCCGATCAAAGTAAGAGCCTCCGCCCTTCGCCGCCATGGTCCTC